TACTAAGAGCAAGACTGAATGTAAATATCGCAAAGACCAACATATGTGACGTTGTGTAAGAATCCCAGAATGCAACGACGAACAAGAACCAGGCCAATAAGGTAAGAAATAGGTGATTCCATCATATGGTAAGAGTCAGTTAAGTTAGGTCAGGTTAGGTTATTGTTTTTCTAGTGTTTTATTGTGCATTTGTTAGTCGCTTACGCACTTTTTTTTTTCTCGGAAAACGTCAAACGAAAAAAATCGCTAAAAAAACGGCTAATTTCCGGCAAAAAGGAAGGTCATATTCGGTCTCAGCACACACAAATACACTAGAAAAATATATTTTTAACTTGCTACAAGTGAACGGAGAGAAAAATTTACCATTTTACCTCTAACCTAACCTAAATCATATAAAAATATCTTGTAGGTAATTTAAGTTAGGTAGGTTAGTTAGGTCCATTTAAAACAAATAAATTATTTAAGGAAAATAAGCTAGGGGGGGCTAATCTTTAGGTGATCTACACTCTTCTTCATAAAATGCGTCCGTTAAACTGAAGAACAAAGCATCAGTGTTGCCAACGTATTATATGTGTACTTCACTCGGCTTTCACATCATAAAATATGTACGGTATATACTTGATAGCATGATACATTCTCATAATTTTAAACCAGTTAAAAGCAGTTTTGTCAATCAAGTATTAAACAGAGGTGGTAACTGGTGGTTTAGAGAACAAACAATTAAACCCGTGCAGCAGCGGCTCGGGTTAAGGACCTCCCTTCAATAAGTACCTAAAACAACTTAATATGCATACTCCACAGTACTCAAGAACCTGATTATAATTATTAACAATATTACAGTCTTACACGAAGTTAAACAGAGAAAAAGGCTAAATTACTTCCAATATTGAACAAGATGGCGCAATCACCGGTAACAAATCTGGACAACAAACTTACGCCAACTAGATGCGGCTTAGAGACGCTTTTCCTTCATTAAACTACAATAACAACTTCCCTCGATTACTGAATGACATTAACCAATACCAGGGAATAGCAAAAGTACCTGAAATCATCACCAAGACAGAGGAGCGTCGACACCAACACCTTCCTTCACCACAATCGATGAACAACTGACGCCGAGTCCTGACAACATACTGACAGTGTTGCCACATGAAAAAAAATCCCGCTAGACTAGTCCTCCAAGCCGCTAGATTTATTTTCTTTTAAACGTCACTACAAGAAAAAATTATTAAAATTATTCGCTTTGAAAAAAAAACCCAAGTAACCTTATACACATAACCCATGTGGAAATATTAATAATTTAGAACCAAATCATAAACACATGATAGGCACACCATTAGAAACCACTAACTTGACAAGAAAATACTTCTTCACTTCGCCATAGTAAATTACTTCTATTCCAAGATATTTGTTAACACTGCTGATTCATCTGTCAGTAAACTGCATGGTCTGCCTCCAACAACACGGGTTATGTCAGACATGAAATTGGAATGCAACATCTTTTGAATTACACCACAAAATTTTGATCTTGGATTTTGTGTCAGCGATGCAATCATTGATGTAGTTTTTACATAAATTTTCCAAGTGATCACTCGTTGCAACTGAAGTGTTCTGCAATCAACAATATCATTCACCCTTTAGACATCTGTGTTTCACTAGTTTTTCGAACAGGAAGAAATATTAGTGTCAGTTTTCTGACACCAGAAAATACTTTTTTGTTGGAGTTCATTTTTGACATGAGCTTTCAGGTTGCATAATTTGGATGTTGGGAAATACTGACAGAATTTACACCATGGCACCAGCAGACCGAGTCACGGGGAGCGTGGCTGGGGGAGAGGCAGGCCGGGGGATAGGTGGGAGAGGCAGGCCGGGGGAGAGGTGGGAGAGGCAGGCCGGGGGAGGGGTGGGAGAGGCAGGCCGGGGGAGGGGTGGGAGAGGCAGGCCGGAGGAGGGGAGGAAGAGTTAGTACACGTCCCAACGGGGAGGGAACAGGGGAGTGCCAAGCAAAACGGGCCAATTCATGCGTAAATTTGCAACCAGTTATTCTCTGTTTGTATTATTACTGTCATTTTTAGATATTTCTCGAGTGAATAGGAGTCCCCGATAGTCCTCTCATTTGCCCTGTCATCCTGCTAGAAAACCGCTATGCAAAATTAATATCTAATGTGCTAAGGGTTCCAGCTACACGCTAGATTGAAAGCAAAACTCCAGAATTAGCGGGAAAACCACTAAGTTGGCAGCACTGACAACACCACCACAGAAAACGACGACTCACTCACTCCCTTCCGAGGACGAACTCAAGTGTGTGGGTGTGTGTTAAACTAAAGCGTCAAACAAGTTAAAAAACAATTACATAAATATAAATAATTATACTTATGATGTACATTAACTTTTACTGTTATCTTCTTCGCCACTAATTGGCTCGTTACCACTTGGGCGGTCGGTCTGATACACATGCTGAATTGTATACCTGTATAGTCTACACACCAAACCAATAGTTAACTTGCATGTTTAAAGGATAATCTTTTTTTTCTTCATTATTATTATCTTATTATTATTATTATTATTATTATTATTATTATTATTATTCAGACAAATTAAATATAGTGAACGCGGATAATGGAGCCACCTCGTCATGTTGTCAGCCACGAGTCACCACTGAGACAGGCGTGAGAGTAATTGTCACCTTCCTGTTGAGAGAGGAGGAGAGAGGGGCACAGTAAAAAGAAACAAGAATAAAAGGTAATAATAATAATAATAATAATAATAATAATAATAATAATAATAATAATAATAATAATAATAATAAAGAAGACACAGCTTATAGAAGATGGAACATTAAAAGGAAGAAGAAACGAAGTAAAGGGAGAGAGAGAGAGCGAGAGGGAGGAGGAGGCCAGCTGTTTTGTAAGAAAGCAATTCGTGATGTCGTCAGCGTCACGAGACTGTACACTATGTATTTTCATTATAATCAGTCACATGGCAGAGGGCGCTGTTGTTATCAGGGGGTTGGTAAGACAGATATATGTAACTTGATGACTAAGAGGGCAACCTGGCCACCTTACACCTACACCCGGGAGCAGCACTTACCTGTATACACCTGCCTGGCCGCCTTACACCTACACCCAGGAGCAGCACTTACCTGTATACACCTGCCTGGCCGCCTTACACCTACACCCAGGAGCAGCACTTACCTGTATACACCTGCCTGGCCACCTTACACCTACACCCAGGAGCAGCACTTACCTGTATACACCTGCCTGGCCACCTTACACCTACACCCAGGAGCAGCACTTACCTGTATACACCTGCCTGGCCACCTTACACCTACACCCAGGAGCAGCACTTACCTGTATACACCTGCCTGGCCACCTTACACCTACACCCGGGAGCAGCACTTACCTGTATACACCTGCCTGGCCGCCTTACACCTACCAGGAGGGCGTGACACCTATCAGGGGGACATTATCTCTGCTATCAGTACAGTAGTCATGTGGCCCACCTGTCATGTGGCCCACCTGTCATGTGGCCCACCTGTCGTGGCCGAACCTGACATGTGGCCCACCTGTCATGTGGCCCACCTGCCATGTGGCCCACCTGTCATGTGGCCCACCTGCCATGTGGCCCACCTGTCATGTGGTCCACCTGTCATGTGGCCCACCTGTCATGTGGCCCACCTGTTATGTGGCCCACCTGTCATGTGGTCCACCTGTCATGTGGTCCACCTGTTATGTGGCCCAACTGTCATGTGGTCCACTTGTCATGTGGCCTGCCTGTCATGTGGCCCACCTGTCATGTGGCCCACCCGTCATGTGACCAGCATGGCCAACATCTTTTATAACTAGTGTGGCCTTCCTGTCATAAAAGCAGTGTGGCCCTACTGTCATACAGTGTGGCCCTCCTGTCATACAACCAGTGTGGCCCTCCTGTAATACAAGCAGTGTGGCCCTCCTGTGATACAACCAGTGTGGCCCTCCTGTAATACAAGCAGTGTGGCCCTACTGTCATACAAGCAGCTGTGGTTCACTGTCATACACAACCAGTGTGGCCCCTCCTGTAATACAAGCAGTGTGGCCCTATCATACCAACAGTGTGGCCCTCCTGTCAATACACTACAGTATCCTACCACCTGGAGTCCTACCTCCTCACCTGCCTCCTCACCTGCCTCCCTCACCTCCTTCCACCTGCCTCCTCTGCCCCTCCATACCCGGCACTCCCTCCACCTGCCTACCTCCTGCCTCCCTCACCTGTCTCCCCTCACCTGCCCCTCCCTCTCACCTGTCTTCATCACCTGCCTCCCCTCACCCTGCCTCCCTACCTGCCTCCATCACCTGCCTCCCTCCTGCCTCCTTCACCCGGCCTCCCTCACCTGTCTCCTCCCACCTGCCTCCCTCACCTCCTCACCTGCCTCCTTCTGCCTCCCTCACCTGTCTCCATCCCCACCTGCCCCTCCCGCCCTACCTCCCTCCCACCTGCCTCCCCTCACCCTGCACCTCCCCTCACCCCTGCCTCCCTCACCCCCTCCCTCACCTCCCTCACCTACCTCCCCTCACCTACCTCCCCTCCTGCCCCTCCACTTCCCACCTGCCTCCTTCACCTGCCTCCCATCACCTGCCTCCCTTACCCCACCTCCCTCCCCTGTCTCCCCTCCCCACCTGCCCCTCCCACCTGCCTCCCTCACCTGCCTCCCTGCACCTACCTCCTGCCTGCTCCCCTCACCTGCCTCCCTCCCTGTATGTCCCACCTACCCCTCCACTTCACCTGCCCCTCCCATCACCTGCCTCCTTACCTCCCTCACCTGCTCTCCCTCTACCTGCCTCCCTCCCCTGCCTCCCTCCTGCCTCCTTCACCTGCCTCCCCACCTGCCTCCTTCACCTGCCTCCCTCACCTGCCTCCCTCACCTGCCTCCATCACCTGCCTCCTTCACCTGCCTCCCTCACCTGCCTCCTTCACCCTTAACTAAAGATGTGTGTAGTGAAGAGAGAGAGAGCTTCACTCACCCGTTATACAGTGTGGTCTCGGCACTAGAGGCGGACGACCCGTTGGACACAGTACTGCGTCGTCGTGGGGGCGTGTGGGCACCGTGGGTAGGCACAGGGGACTTAGCCTTGGTGGTCTTGGGCGTGGTACTCTTCAGGGACTGCTTGGACGAGGCCAAGGACCCGCTGGGAGACCTACGCACCGTCTTGGCCGGCTCCTTGGATCTGGTCGATTTGGCCGAGGAGTCGGAGTTGGCCGAGCCATTGGACTTGGTCGAGGCACTGGACTTGGCCGAGGCGGCGGACTTGGCCGACAGGTTGGACCTGGTCGAAGCGTTAGACTTAGCAGACTGGTTGGACTTGGCCGAGGCGCTGGACTTGGCCGAGGCGGCGGACTTGGCAGAGTGGAGGGAGATTTCACTGCCGCAAGGCGAGTTGGTCTTAACACAGCGCTCTGGGGAGGACAACACAGTTTTAGATAACTGACTATCTATCTATCTATCTATCTATCTATCTATCTATCTATCGACTGTATAGGTCTATCATTTCTCTAAATATAGTCCAACTGCAATAAGTAAATAAGTAGATAAGCTTATAAATATAAAACTTACACATAATGGTTGCTCCACGTGTATCGAGGACGGCCGGCCCGAGGGCCACCTAGACGTGAATTTGTTTAAGGTGTAAAAGCTGTCGCCAACACAACAACCACACCCTGAGTTAACGAGCTGCATGACCCAGTGTTTAAGGTGTAGAAGCTGTCGCCAACACAACAACCACACCCTGAGTTAACGAGCTACCATGACCCAGTGTTT